CCAGAGCTGGAAGCTTATCTCTTCCAGAAGTCAGTTTTACCTCATCCACCTCAGGAAGAAGTATGTCAGGTCTGAACCAGAGAATGCTCCCCAGATGCCAAGACCAGCCTGTGAGTCTAACATCTAGACAAGGGATAGGGGAGTTATGTGGAAAGAACAAATGGACCATTCAAACAGTGAAGGTAGCGGCCCCTAACAGGTCTTCAAAAGCCATAGGAAAGATACTGGCTCCATCCGAAGCTCAGAGTGAAGCCAATGAGAGACTGAGTCTGGGGCCAGGCCAACATGGAAAGGCTGGTGCAGCCAGGCTCATGTGCTGGGTGCCAAAGGGGAATTACTAGGAGAAAAGTGGGCATGGCGTGGTGAAATCAGAGGGATGGCTTCCAGAATGGCGACACCTTCTACACGTTACCTTCATGGAGGCCTCCGGTCTAGTTAATAATTTAAGTCAGACACAGGCTCCACTTTGGAGCAGTCTTCCATTGGTTCCAGACACAATGATGGGTAGAAAACCTTAGGAGAGTGGCCAGGGCTACACCAGGGAGCAGGGCACCAGGATGATACTTGAGGCATGGTTAAGGCTCACATGAGAACACAGCAGGGAGCATAGGATCCTCCCTGGTCAACAGAAGCTGTGGTTTCCCAGGTGTCCAGGGGCTTCATGGCAGGAATTCACCTGGCGAAGGCAAAAGTAGAGCCTGGCCTTGAACAAGAACTCATCTACAGTAACTGCTGTGGGTCGTCAGATCTCAGGCAGTCTGGGGAAGTGATCATACAGTCAAGGCCCACAAGAAGGTCCCAAATGAAAGCCTTGGAATCACTCACAGAGAAGTGCTTCCTAGCCTTTCAACTCTCGGGTGCAGAGGACCTGCAGCTTTGAAATAATGAGCATGGCAGCCTTTGAGGCTGCGAGATCCTCATATTCAAATTGGCTTTACAGTTCAGAGAAAAAAGAGTACATAGTTTTGCTTTTAACAGTCCTAGGTGTTACCCAAAGAACATCACAGGGTCCTGCTTCTGATGGTGTGTGTGTGTGTGTGTGTGTGTGTGTGTGTGTGTGTGTGTGTGTGTGTGTCCTGCCCAACCCATCACTATCCAGCTCTGCAGCTGTCTAACTCCTGGAAAGGTTACATACACCAGAGCAGTCTGCTTTCTCCCAATTCTTATTCAATTACGCTCCTTTTAACAAAAGAACAAAGAACCTCTAAAGGGCAATGCCTCAGAAAGCAGAGGAGCTCGTCACAGCTGTAAGGAAACCAGAGCAGTGGCAACAATCGAAAGTGGACAGAGGCAGCCAGTGAGCATAAGGCCAAAGCCTGTGGAGAATCAACTGAGCAGTAAACAAAGAACAATTGCTCTCTGGTCTGATCCCATTATGTAACACGGAGCCCTAAAGTGAGCCAGATGGCACAGGCCGACGACCATGTGCTCCCAGCCCTAAACTGATACGATGAAGCCCTAACCCCCAACATTAGGACATTAGGAGGTGGAGAATTTGGCACGTGACTAAGCTTAGACAACACCATGAAGCTAGGACTTCTGTGGTGAGATTAGTGTCCTACAAGAATACCAAAGGGGTCTGGCACAGTGGCACATCCACTCAGTCCTTGAGAAGTTGAGACAAGGGGAAGGTGAGTTCAAGCTTGGGTTCAAAAATAAAGAAGAAAGGACATTATCTTCTCTGTCTGTCTGTCTCACTCTGTGTCTCTCTGTTTCTCTGTGTGTTTATCTCTATCATCTCCTTTTTTTCTCCCTTTATCTTTCCTTCTTTCTCTCCAGTGAAATAAATAGCAATAAAGCAGCTAGCTGACAGCCAGGAACCAAGCCTGTCAGCATCTTGACCTGGGACCTCCAGCCTCCAGAAATGTGAAGACAAATGCTAACACTTTAAGTCAGAAAAGTCCATGATGTTTTCTCAAAGCATCCCTAGCTGACTAAGACACTGAGCATTGTAGAGCAGAGTCCAGGCACAGTGCCCTGGTCATCTGTGACATAAGTTGCGATCTCCTAAACCCAATATTAGAATGATTCTTCCCCTCAAACACAAACCCTAGGAAAATCTCACACTAAGCCCGCCCTTCCTCTTCAGTCTCTTGCTATAATCATGCTAAATTATCCAGGTTACTCATCAATAAAATATATACATCCAATAATACTTTAGAGGTTTATAAGAATTTTAAAAGATGACTATCTGAAGTTAAAGACCACTCAGCCTCAAAGGTATGACCCCTGTATAGGGCTTTCTTGGGAGACAGCGCGACACCATCACCCTGACAGTGAAATGATGCCAAACCTTCTGCAAAACATGGAGATGGATCACAATGAAGAGGAGAGAGGAAAAGCAAAGGAGCTAAAAGTCACGGGAAAGAAGAGACAATGTTATTGTCTGTGGCTAATAGGACTGTCTCCCTGCAAAGCTACAGGAAGTTACTAAAAATCGTCCCATCACACGGCTCACTCGGATGAATACTCGCGGAGCAAACTATTCAGAAATCAATCATTCTCTTGGACAGCAGCAGAGGCAGCTGCAGAACACTTTGTTTAAAGTTCCCAAGTAGAAGGACAACAAAGACTGGGCAATGTCCACAAACAGAACAAAAAAGAAATGTTCAAGATACATTTAAAGAAAACTGTAAAACTTTACTGAAAGTCGTAAAATGTTGCAAAGATGATGATGTCGAAGATGTCACTTCTTTCCCACTGTGCCCCAGGTTATTTATAAATCTCATGAAATTCTGCCTGCCTGTGGTGTTCTTTTTTTTTTTTTTTCTTGGATGTCTTGAATGTTCTATTTTTGGAGTTTCTCTTTTTTTTTTAGTTACTGTGAGTGGGTTCCTGTTCATAGCAATCAAATGACTAACTCAGCCTGGGCTGCCCCTCTATCTCTCATGGGCTTGTGTATCCTGAGTCTTGACTCTGTATGCTACTGAACCTCTTTCCAAAGGGCCTTTTACAGATTCTTGCAAATAATAATAATTTCATTAGCAATAATAATATTTTTTAAACTTGAATGCTTTTTTTCCAGCTTTAACTTATTACACTACCTCCTTGAGCCTCAAATCAACATTGTGTATTTAAGCCTCAAGTCGTATGATCATGGGCTCAAATTCTCTGGAAAAAGAACTTGATTGGTTCAACCTATCTTTGGTGAGGATCTATTGGTCCAAATGGATGTGGCCATAAACAGCAGAGACCCATGGTTTGAGCTGAGCCAGAATAAAGAGTATTAATAAGGATGTCAGTAGACTGATGTGTATTTTACCTATTTCATTTTAAATTATTAACATTTTTCCAGCCATATCATTGTGGTGATTTGAATGAAAATGGCCATAGGTTCACAGAGAGTGGCACTATTAGGAGGTGTGGTCTTGGTGTGGAGTAGGTGTGGCCTTGTTGGAAGAAGTGTGTCACTCTCTCTCTCTTCCTGCTTGCATGCCAATTCAGATATAGAACTCTCAACTCCTTCTCCAGCACCATGTCTGCCTGCACGCTGCCATGTTTCTTACCATGATGATAATGGACTAAACTTCAGAACTTATAAGCCAGCCCAAATTAAAAGTTTTCCTTTATAAGAGTTGCATGGTCATGATGTCTCTTCACAGCAATAGAAACACTACTAAGACAATCACAAAGCAAGATTTTTTTTATCAGCATATTGATGTTAAGGAGCTACCATATTATGGCAGGTTAAGTTCTCCATAAATGCCTGGCCAACTTACAAATCAAAGATGGGCCCATTTTCAACACTTGGGTGCTTGGAGTCCTACCTGGTTTTCTGGTGATCATACCACACCCACTGTGGTCCTAAAGCAGAGTATCTTTTTTGCCTAGCCCCTCTGTGCCACCTGCCAGTATTGCAGTGGGGCCGCATCCCTGGGGACGGTGCATGTGGGTCTCCCAGTCACTGGTTAGCTGCCACTCACTGTTCTCTGTTCTACCTGTCTCTATCCTCTACATCTATGATTCTCTATCCATCCCCCACCAGCCTGCCTGCAAGAACCCTGTCCTGCCTTGCAACAACACCACCAAGTGCTTGCTCATAATAGTTCAGTGGATGGACCGAAATTGAATAAGCACTCATTGCTCCAAGCTGCAGACACCTTGTGGCATGCCCTAAGGGGGCTCCTTCTTTTTTTGAGATGAGTTCTGAATCCCACGAGTAGGATAAGTCCTCTTTAGCCTGGGGCTGCAAGCTGCTTCCTCTGCTCTGCAACACTTAGACCTCAGACTCCACACACCCAACCCATGCTTTTGGTGGGAAGCAAATTTCTCACCACCACCCCAACAGCTGAGAGTCTACCTAGGAAGTAAAAAATTAAACTCATCTCTAGGGCACAAAGGGAAGCAGTTACACCCTTACCCTATGGCTGCAATGGAAGACACGTATCAGAATCTCTGAGGGACCTCTCCAAACCTCATAGTTCCTTTATTTCCCTACCAGGCTGTGGAAGAACTCCCAGACTCTTGGAGTCATCAGAAGAACCAATTCATTAGCCTACAATGCTTTACACAGAGTCCCCCAGGAGGCAATATCTTCCTTAGAGCTAGGGTGGCCTCTAGCTGTCAGGGTCAGACCATCCCCCATAAGACTAGACCTTCCTTTAGATCAAAAAGTCAGAGGATGGGGGAAGTTGTGGCTCTGGGTGCAAAGATACAGATAAGTATGGTAATTACATGTGCAAGCATTTGGGTTCCAGCTTTCTTTACATTAGCAGCCTTAGGGAGCCCTGAGGGTGACATCTTAAGCCATCTAATTTCTGTGACATTCATACCCCACCCCGACTATCTCAGCTGCTCTTTCTGGGGTGTCTTTTCAACCTACTGTCTTCTTATCAATGGGGACCAGCCCATTAGGAGTCCCATTTAGGCATCATTGGTTGTCATTGCAGAAATGATTCTGTGTGATGTTCACTAACGGAAGTCATCAGGAGAGTTCAAGCATAGCCTCCCACCCCCACCCCAGCAGCCACAGGAAGACCTAGCAGGAGGGATGTCCTTACACAAGACGACAAGCACATTTTAGCTGGAGTTGTGTGACAGGCCATCCCATGGGTCCCAGTCTTTCTCAGCCTGTGCTCTTAACACCAGCAGAAGGGCTTTGTGACAGAACAGGATCCCCTCCACCTCCAGCTGTTACCTCACTCCCACATCATTCACCCACAGGCCAGCATGCAGGTGTGCACACTCAGACACTCTGCCCCCTCCTCCCACAAGTGCTTATGGCACACCCAAAGCACACAGCCAAGTCCACAGCATCCATGGTACCTTCCTAGAGCACAGAGCATTCTCAGGTGCTGGGCAAAATGTCACTTCTGTTTCAGGTTCTCTCACAGCAATACTCAAATGAGCAGCCACAGCAACACAGGCATTTGATGCTCCTGGTGCTTGCTTCCCAAAGCCAGCTCACAGTCACACCGTACCAACTTGCATGTGCTCTTGACACTGTGGAGCCATGCTTCCCATGAAGTGGACCTTTTTGCTATCCATGGGAGCTCCCCAAGGCATATGAAGCCATATGCCTGCAAGGTTTGCACTGGAGAAAAGCCAGGCATCTTCTCCAAGCTACGGATTTTGATGTAGGAGCCTGGAAGGAGCCTGGAGCGTGTGCTTGCTGCTTGGAGCTACACAGGTGCAAAGATGGCCCTTGGGGGGCGGGGCAACCCTTTGCAGATCTGAAATGTGCTTGCTGGATACACCTGGGTGACATTCCACACAGACGCACGGCCCTCCCATAACTTGTGCTCTTCTGGATAGGTTATAAATTCTGGATCTGGGGCAGTCAAAGGTACAGACTACACTCCCACACTGAGGAAATGCAGCCACCACCTGTTGACATTTAGCACTCTATAAATGAGACAGGCACTGCTAGGTTGAGGACGAATAGCTCCACCCTAACAGGTCACTCACTCTGTTACACCTCTAAGCTTTAAGAAGAACACAAGAGACACCTGGCTTGCAGTTGCCTTTAACCTTAGGAGCACTTTCCTGCCTCATCTAATGGGAGAAATAAAAGCAGACACTGGAATGGCTCATCTTACCTCCTTTTTATTACAACATCAGGGAAAATAGTTGCAGATGAATCGTAATGGAGATAATCGGGTTAAGCTACCACAATTCACTGTGTACACCTTTCTATGGGGCATACATACTACGGGTTTCTGTACATGCATCAGATTTGCAGCGGGGTGTATACTGTGTGGGTGACTCCTCTCTAGGGTAATGCTCTTTTCATCTCTTGATGGATGGTGGTTGAACATGGTCTTCAGATGGAATAGGAAGCAGCTTCCCCACTAAGACTGTGACCCGGCCTTTTTCTTCTGAAATTTTCTGAACTGAGACTGGATGGCCACAGCCGCACGCTCTGTCTCTGGTGCATCCATGTCAATGTCAAATTCTTCTTGGACTTTCTTCTGCCCATCTGTATCAAAAAACAAAAACAGACATATAGAGTGACCACCTCGCTGAAAATAGAAGAGCAGAGTAGGCAGCAGCCTAGAAACATGAGGCACGGTGTCCACCACGGTGTGCCCTCAGGTATTCGTTCACCCATCCCAAGACAAGGCCCTGTTTAAAGTAAAATCCAGGGGAGCATGGTGCAAAGTTCCAGACATTCAGAATCTTCAGCACTCTAACTGAACTCTACCCCGTGGTGGTACTGTGTTCCCCAAAATATTGTGCATGCTAATAAACTTATCTGGGGTCAGAGAAGAGAACAGCCACAATATTAAACATAGAGGATAGGCAGTGGTAACACACGCCTTTAATCCTAGCATTCCAGAGGCAGAGATACCTCTGGATCTCTGTGAGTTCAAGGCCACATTGGAAACAGCCAGACATGGTGACACACGCCTTTAATCCCAGAAAGCAAGCCTTTAATCCCAGGGAGTGGTGGTAGAAAGCAGAAAGGTATATAAGGCTAGAGGACCAGAAACTAGAAGCATTTGGCTGGTTAAGCATTCAGGCTTTTGAGCAGCACAGTTCAGCTGAGATTCATTTGGATGAGGACTCAGAGGTTTCCAGTCTGAGGAAACAGGATCAGCTGAGGAATTGGCGAGGTGAGGAAGCTGTGGCTTGTTCTGCTTCTCTGATCTTCCATTTTCACCCCAATAACTGGCCTTGGGTTTGACTTTATTAATAAGACCATTTAACATTCCTGCTACACTGCCCATAAGCAGGATGATGAAAGTCACTGACACAGTCTTGACACTTTCTATAGTGCTAGCTGATGGTCACTGTGTTCAGAGCTGACAGGGATATTTTGGATCTTTGTGTTGCTAATGAATTTGCTCATTGTTTTCTAGGCTCCAGTCATGGCCATTTTCATAACCAAATGACACTATTTGACCATCACCATAAGATCGCACTTCCATAAATCATACATTGTGATTCTGCAAGGCAAACTGAGTGGTGTATCTACTAAGGCAGAGAAGCCAGCTGGCTCACACTGACAGGGTTGCTGAGGACAGGATACAAGCCAGCACCAAGTGATGACTTGAGGTGATTGTGCCTTTGTGCTGGGCACTTCCTGGGCAGTGACCAAAAGTAAAAAATAAGTAAGCAAAATCCTCCTGCAATGAGAAACTGCCAGCTGCCGCCATGACAAGCTGCATGTGAAGACACCGATAAGCCACAAGCCACGTGGCAAGGTATAGATTTATGGAAATGGGTTAATTTAAGCTATAAGAACAGTTAGCAAGAAGCCTGCCACGGCCATACAG